ATGATTGCTCCAACACGCGCAATCATTGAACATACACCCATTCCCGTATTGCGACCTTCTGTTGGGAATGTTTCATTGGCATATATGTAAATAATTACATATGAACCTGATGAAAAAAACTTAAGAGCACTATTTATTATGAACATAAGAATATATTGATCTAAAATAAAAATAAACTCATATGAATGAACATAGTTGAATTATGGAAATTAAATACTTTCGCTATCTTTTGGAAAGACCATTTGAATTGGTACAACGAGCAGTGCCGTGCATGCAAGTGCTAGTACAAATAAACAGTATGTTAATTTGCGACCCCATCGATCAAGTACTAGATGAACGACAAAGTATGCTAATAGTTCAACAAGAGCACTAGCTCCAAACGCGATGTATGGATTGCGTAACCATGCACCTAGAATTATCAAATGTTTTAATTTTGTCAATGAAATCTATCTAATCAATTACCAGTATTTTGTGAAATGCCATAAAAAACAAGATTTTGTACAAACCTAATATATGAGATAGGATAATCATTATATAGTATTATAGTTACAAAAAATCTTTATCTATATATTACCATTGATATGACATATTCACTGCAATGATGCCCATAACTTTTGAATGAAATAAAGCTTTACATCCATGATTCCTTTCTTGATTAGCAGCTACTCTCTATTATATAATAGCAGATGTATTCAACAGAGGTTACCCTAGTCAAACTTCTTGTCTCATGTGCATAAATTTCTTGACCTTCTTGAGCAAGAAAGCCATGTGCTATGAATAAATTTTGAGGTCTGCACAGGTGAAGCACAAGAAAAAAAAAGTTCGACTAGGGCAGCCTTTTATCTATGTGTTTACTTTTTTATCCTCTCTCACAAAACGTTGATAAAGTATTGGATCAAACTGTTTTTTGTTTCTTTCAGCAATGTGATGAAAAATCGATCCAGCTTCATCATAACGTTGTTCAGAAATAAGCCATCGAGGACTTTCAGGTAAAATACTAAGATCAATAATAAATAATATACAAAGATAATAAGATAAAAGATCGAAAAAATAATAACTTACAAGTAGAAAAAGATAAAAGGTACAGGAACAACAGCAAGAACTGCGTTCAATGTTTGCCATGTTCGAATATGTAAAGCAAAAGCCAAGAGTAATAATTCACCTAATGCAAAGAAATACTTAATGACAATACCAGCAAATAAACGTTGTTTTGGACCAACTAGCATTTAAATAAAAGACATTATTTATGATCAATCATAATCATAGCAACTTGCATTAACTTACCTATTTCCGAACCTAAAATATTAAAATAAGAACAAAGAATTAATAATGTTTTTCAAGAAACAATAACATGAAAAAAAAA